GCGGTCTTACTGAGCACTGTAGTTTTATTTTGACAGTTGTTGTCATGAATTAATAGTTATTTCTCAAGGCTACAACACTTCTAATACAGTTTATATGAGACTGCTGAGCATTACGTCGTCTTGCTCAGCACTACGGAGTGTATCCACTAGTTATAGAAAAATGGCATCCTTTTTTAGGGATTGATGAGATGAATTTAGGCCTGGGCCGAAAAATCACCTGAAATTCGGACCGGGCCGAAAATTCCCTGGACCGAAATTCATGTAACCCGATACTTTTTCTGCAATAGTTTTCATATTCCATACATTTATGTTTACAAATTTTCTTAATAAATATGAACTTGAGAGTAAAACCTATCGTGAATATTATATTTTTCTTATTTTACCAATGACAATCATGAAATCGTGAGATAATTAAAAAATAATTAATATTTCTCAATTCTTGGATATATTAATTTTATCTTTTAAAATGTTACTTGTATTTAGTGCATATACAGTTGTATATATTTCTATTAATCATTATTTTATTAGAATAATTAATTATAAAAATAAATCAAAATATTTAATATTGATTGTTTTCTTTTTACTTGTTCGTTTTCTATTTCTTCATAGATAATGTTTATGATAATTTTAATACAACTGTAGAATTAAATAATTGAAACATTTCAATATAGAATTATTTATTTTATAATATGTTCATCATCTATTTAAATCATACTATTTATACTTAAACTTTAATTTAATTTAATTTAATTTACTGATTATGCATGTGATAACTACTCTTCGTATACCGATCGGTATTATGTGTGCTACACTGGCAAAGTTTTTTGAAAGTCTTCTATCAAAACGAATGAATATTTTTCAAACATATTAAGACTTCTGAAATAAAGTTGTTTTCGATATACTCTCATACTACTGTTGACATGTCTCAACCATTTGTATTATAGTCACTGAGTCCAAATAAACCCCAGCTACGAAAGAAATTTTAATTAAAGATGATACTTGAAGTATTTTTATTTCTAAAATATATTCTCAAACTGTTTTCTTTTGTCAGTTTATTCGAATTGTTGATAATAAGTTACAATTTTCAATCGTTTATAGCAAGAATCGAAAGTCATACACAGTACGATCGGTAAATCGTCAAGTGTAAACAAACATGCAACATGGATATGAACATTGATTTATTCTAGTAACCGATAATTTATTTTACTGACCAGTTGAATATGATAGTTTGTTATATAGAAGTCAGTCAGTGAAAAATGTTGAAATTAATAAATTGAAATATTGAATACGAAAGTATTTTCTTTTTTTATTACATAATAATAAATAAAATATTTTAAGAATAATATTTAAATTAGTATTCTATTTAGAGTAGCTGTCTAATTCGAGTCCGAATATAAATGGAGAAAAGAAAAAGAAAAACTACTAGATAAATCTAGGAATAGATTTAGTTTTAGTTTAACTTTCCGATATATGCGACATATGAACACATATATACCCCTACAACCCACGCACCACCCAGGGTACCCGCACCCACATTTGAGCCCCCTCCCTGCACCCCTTCCGGGTACCCCTCACCCGCACCCACATTTGAGCACTCCTCCATGGTACCCATCACCCACACCCACATTTGAAGTCCCCCGGGTATCCCCCGCATCCCTTCCGGGTATCCCACACCCTCAAGATTTTTTTCTATTACTTTAATTATTAATTAGATATAACTTTGTGTTGTTAGGTAGTGCTACTTAATAAATTAGATATAAATAAATTTTAAAATTAGATAGAGATTGCTATATTTTTAGGTATTGGTTTATATTTACCCCTTAAATAAACATCAAAAATTAAAATTTTTATTTAATTTTAGTTTTTAAATTTGAGGTTTTCAGTTTATATGCACATTCTTTTTAAATTTTATACAAAAATATTCAATGCAAGTTGGTAGTCGTCGTCAAATTCCAACGAGAAAAAGACATTATTATAATTAAAAAAAAAAAAAAAAAAAAAAAAAAAAAATTTTTTTATTTTTTTCAAGAGGTACTAATAGAATCTCTAAGAATCCTCAAAATCTAATTATATTTTATGAAGTTCTTTTCACATAAGAATAAAATTGAAGAAAAGTTTAAAAGAACTTAATTAAGACAATGAAGTCACAAAATAAAATAATCAAATTTTTTTAAAATTCAACACACGTGATAAAATTCTTTTTTTTGTTTTTCTTAGTTAAATGTCCTTTTCTTTAAAATGTATACTTGAAAACGAATTCAATTTTTCTTTTAATTAAAACCAAAATCTTGTTTTTCTTTTGATTATACAAAAAATTGATTATATAAAACAAATCGTCAAAGAATTTTCACTGTTGCTTCAAAAAAAAAAAAAAAAAATACTTCAATGTTTCATTCACACTAAAAGAAGAAACATAAGAACAAACACTCGTTAACGATGGAAATGTATGCTTCTTTGCTTATGATTGTCAATTGATCAAGTTCAAATTATGTACAACATAGAGTAAAAAAGTAATTATCATTCTCAAAATTTGCCTACGCATAGAAATCGATATAAATATTGTAAACAAAGAATTCATGACTTCAACTACTTGTTCGTTGTTCGTTTTTTCTTTTTTTTTTTTGCTAACTCCTACTCATAATAATAAGAAGAATCTTCCGTTTCTTTTTTCTTCTCTTTTTCTTATCCAATCAATTTTTCATTTTTATTCTCGAAAATAATTGTTGAAGTCTTATGACTAAGTTTTTCTTTTTTTTTCTTTCTTTTCAGTAGTTTGAAGTAACGATTGCTCATATATGTACATGTTCGTAACAAGTAAGAACAAAGTTGATTCATTGAACGCGATCCTGAGTAGTTCAATAAACACCTATGAAGGTCGATCATCAAACAAGAGTTTCATGCCACTTTTATTATATTTCTGATCACAAAATGAAGTTACGAAACTTTTTTTCTTTCTCTCTCTCTCTCTCTCTCTCATACATTGACATACTTATACAAAGCAGAGTTGAATGTAAAGAAATAAGAGAAAAGAAAAAGAAGAGCTCAGTCTTTTCGCCTACTACTTTTCTTTTTTCTCTTCTTTTATGTAAGAGAAATAAAAAAAAAAAGATTTTTTTTCCAAATACTTTCTGCATTATTCAGTAGAAGTGAAAGGCAAAAGGTTGTTGCAGTTCTTTTTTTGTGCATATATAGATACAATTTAATCATGATTTTTCTTATTGGTTTTTCATGGCATGTAGCAGCTAGTTTTGCATTTCTTCTTGCTATTCTAACTTCAAATTGGGCAACATATCAAATTATTACATCATCGGGAAATACAACTGTTCAACATGGTATTTTTTATGTATGTGAACCAGTTTTAAAGACAAGTATTTATGAAACAACACGTTGTTTATCAGTAATTGATATTGATCCATCAAATAATACAGTAGAATTATTGAAATATCGTAAGTCATTATCGAATTAGTTTTATTTTATCTCATCAATAATTTATTATAGCTCTTAGTATGGCATCAGCATCACTTGCTATTACTTGTGCTGGACTCAGTCTTATTACTTTATGGTTATCTGGTATTTATTTTAATCGTCGTACAAGAGATAAATGTACACAATGTTTTCTAATATCTGTTTGCATTTCAGTGTTTATTACTTGTACGTAAATTAATTAAAAGAAATTTTTGAATAAAAAATTTCTTTTTTTTTATTTAGTTTGTGCATCAGTTGCTGTTTGGATTTTAATTATATCAGAAATTCTTGCATTTAGTCAAAAAGTTGAACGTTCAACATTTCGATGGCCTATGTGGTTAGGAATTGGTGCATCAGGTGGTTTTCTTATGGGATTTATATCAATACTTATATCATTTTGTAAAGGACTAAGTTGTACACGTAATAGAAGCAATGCATATCGTGGGGAAACTCAATTTTAAAATTACATTTTTCTTTTTCTTTATTTTTTATTTCTTTACAATCAAATAAAATACATTATTTAACATGGACGGATATAAATTTTGTTGATAAAATATATAAATTATTTTTTAACAATTTCTGAAAATAGCTATGAGATAAATAAAAAAACAATATAAATAAGAAGCAGATGCACCAATATTAATCCAAAATGAAAAAGAAAAATCTTCAAGACGAACATATTTAATATTTGTATTATTTTCATATAAATTTATTGTTAACATAATTGACCAAACAGCACAAGATAATAAAACTAAAAAAAAAACAAAAATAAATATAATAATATATATTTATAAATAAAAATTCAACATACAACTGATAAAAACAAAAATAATTATTAATATAAGTAACAATTTTGAACCAATATCACCTGCTAAACGTTCAATATACCATGAACTAAGTAAAAGACTTATAAGACTTATTCCAGCACAACCTATTGCTGAAGAAGCAACAACAGTTGCCAAAACTAAACAAATTAAAATAACAATTTTCTTCTTTGTTTTTTTTTTAAATATAAATAAATTTTATTTATTGTTTACTTGTTGCAGCTGAACTATCGTTCGATATTTGTAAAAAAACCCAATGACATGTATAGGAAGATAATTGAGTATCACATATTTGAAAAATATTTCGTTGTACTCGAAAATCTGTTGATGTATACCAATTAGGTGTGAGAACAGCTGTAGTAAACGCTAATGTAGCGATCAATAAAATATGGTGTCCATGAAGAGCTAAAGACATCTTCTATTCTTACGTGTCAAACTAAAAATGTGAAGTTCTCTTGTGTTATTCTCATTTTCTTTTTCTTTTTTTGTTGCATCGTTGTCTTAATGTCATACAAAAAAAGTATCTTTTTTTTTCTCTGTGCTTTTATGATTTCATCGCGACATTTTCTCATTTTGTCATTTTCCGACGCCGAGGATGACGAGGTATTTGTAGTACTAAGATAAAAAAAAAAGAATCTAATCCGAGGTGCATCTATTTCTTCATTTATCTTTTCTTTTCTTTTTTTTTTTGACGGATTTACGAAGCTACTGGAATAATTTTCTTTCTCTTCCGTTCAGTTTTTACAACAATTTCTATCAACATTAGGAGAAAAAAAAATGCATAGATGAGAATGACATCTATTATGATACAGTTGTTTGTCTTTATATAGAAGAAAAAAATAAAAATAAAAATGCGTAAATCAAAGATTATCTTTTTTTTTGTTTTTTGTTTTTATATAAAGATAAATTTAATAATTTGAAACATGTAAATATTATCTATGTTAAACAACATATATATTGAATTAATGTCATTTATTTATTTATCTTCTTTTCTCTTCAATACTATATTAACATTCAAATACAAATTATTAATAAATAAAATTTTCGATAGAAAATATATAATTTTCGTTTTTGTTTTTTTCATTGACAATATCAATAAAAAGATTAACAGAATTAAAATTTCATTTCCATTACACAGACCTTTCTTATTTATGAGTGAAGGTCACCAGAATGGTAAAGACCTTGACAACATTGTCAACTATACGATCTTTAGTTCACAAACAGAAAACGTGTCATTTACAATAACATAATCACCATTATAAGGCCGTATTTTGTCTCGCGTGAGAACAATGCTTCTCCGAGATTGGATCCGTCCTTGGTCGAGAGTTGATGATTAATACGCCGTATAGTAACACGTAGACCATAAATATGAGTCGTGTCTATTTCTGATTTTTAAAGAACATAAACATAATCTAAAGACCTTGTAATAAATTCATTGAATAGAAAATGTTTTGCTCTACAAATCTATTAGCTTTACTTTTCGGATCAGATGTTTTTTATTGATTCAATAGTGAAAGTTTCAAGATTTATAAAATCTTTCAATTACAACCGCCGTGAAGACACAAAAAAGAAAATTAATAAAAATTATTAATAAAAGAGCTGCTGAATTTTTAAATTATATAAGAATATTTGGTATGTAATTCTATACGTCTCGGATTTTCAAGTAGAATACTTAAAATAAAGTGTTGTCAAGTAAACAAATATAATGACACGAACAATGTCTCTCCTATGATTGTTGTATATGATTGTCATTTTTCTTTATTTAAAATAATCTAAATGTTTTCTTTATTTAATTTAACATTTATAATATTCTCTTAAGAATTAAATTTAAATTATCAATCTAATTATTATAATAAATATTTTACTTGTAAAAACGGATTCATATACGTCTAGACATTATAGACATGTACAAATCAATAGATGTCACCAAGTAATAAATGATTACTTACTGAGAAATACAAAAATTAATCTTAATAATCATTAGAATTTTATCTTGACAAGATAAACTTATTCAGAAAATAAACTTTAGACATTTTTTTTAGAGTCAAGATTTGTCTATAGAATTAACTTAGAACAAATTAATAGAGAATTGTCCAAAGAAAATACCAAATAAATAAATCAATAAAAATTAATAGTTGATAGATGCACTTTTAAATTTAATTATATAGAAAATATTTGTAGTTATTCAATCAATTTTTTAGATCATTATACTAAAAAGAACTTCTTTATATAGTAAGATAGATATATAACTTATTTTCTCCTAAATAATATATATGTAGAATGTATAGAGTATAGAAAGTGATAAAATATCATTTTATTTTTTGATTTATCAATGAAATGACAATATTAGTTTGTTATACATATTGATTTAACCTCCGAGCAGGTCATTTATTCTCTCAACAAACATTTTATACATAGAATCTTTCGTAAATCTTGAGGCATAATAGAATTATTTTATACACAGAGAAAAAATAAATCATAATAGAATATTTGTTTTTTATAAATATTTAGTACACGTATCAATCATTCAAATAAAATATAATTGAATTATATATTTTCTTCTAATAATATAAATATTAATATGAAAACGTTAGAATAAATTTTCTTTTTTTACATTAAGTGCGAAATAATTCTATATAAAACATATCGTAGTAGAAACTAATTATTATTTATTTAATTTATCTATTGATTCAATGTACAAAGTAACAGAACTAAAATCGATAAAATATATGAAAACGTCACGTGACGAACAAAAAACTAAAGAACAAAGATTGTATTTTGAATTATTTAATAATTCAATTTTTACCTCCTGAAGAATTTNGTCATTGTTTTAAATTTATTTTACCTGAACGATTTCATTCAGCATAGATATATCCGAAATAATTATAAAATGGTGGATTTTCATCATTAAAATCAATTAAATTAGATGATTTTTGACAATTACCAGTTATTAATCGAAAATATTCATTTAATTTTTTTATAATCATCTTTAGTTCGAAATATAATTTTCTTGATTTGATATTCTTTTTGATTGACGATAAAAAAACAAAATCAATTGAAAGAAAATGTGAAACTGGATCATTTGCTAATAATGGTATAAAACGAGGTAACGACAAAAATCTATTTTATACAATATGAATAATATTTTTAGCAGTTGTTGCCATATCAGCAGTTATTTTACTTACACTCTCATTGATCCATCAATAATAATAACTATTTTATTATATGCTTGTTCTGGTCTATAATAATCAGAACTATGCATTAATTTACCTTTAAATAATGATAAATCAATAATATTTTCAGGTATATATCGACAATTAAAGAAATCTGATGCAACAATAATAAAATCATATTGTTCAGATAATATTTTATTTGATTTATTAGAATATTCAACTATCCATTTATGATTAAGATAATTAATATTTACAACTTTAGTATTAAATTTAAATATATCATTTTATAATCATTGTTCAACATAATTTAATAAATATTGATAAACATCTTGTTGACTAGGAAATATTGGAGCATTTTTTGGCCAAGAATAGTCTGATAATGGTATAGAAAATTTTGAAATATTTGTTCTTATTGAATTCCAACATGGTTTTATATCAACATTCCACATACCACCAATATTTGATGATTGTTCAAAAACAATTAGTTCGATTCCAACTTTAGACATATTTACAGCTGATACAATATCTGATACACTATACCATCAATTATAGCAACACATTTTCGAGAAGAATTTGCCATCATTATTTCAAAGATAAACCTAGTTTTTTTTTAATGTATTTAATTGACATAAATTAATTTATGATATTTTGTTTAAAAGTAAATCGTTGTAAATTTATTTGGTAGATCGTTATAATGAATTTTGTTTTCAAATGTATTACATGTTACTTTTCTTTGTTTTCAATATATATATATATATAGTAGAATAATGTTTTAATCAACAATGACTCATTTATAACTTTGTTTGAATAATAAAATATAATAGATCTTATTATTTATTATAAGTTGACTAATCTTGAAAAAATAAATATTTTACACAATAAAAAGTTTAAACAAACATATTTAATTCAAAAAACAAAAAAAAATCAATCGTCATTTCACTTGAAAACATAAATAGTTATTATTTATATTTATATTTATATTTATATATACGTATATATATGTACAGTCTTCGATAAAAGTAATTGACTCTCGTTAACTATTACTCTTATTCATAATATTAACACTGATATATTTAGTATATTTATATGAGAATTAAATCTAATACCACCCTTGATCTATTTACATATGTTGAAATTATGATTTAAAAATGATTTTTCTCTTGTCAAAAACATATTCAGTGGAAATGCGCACTTGAAAATGTTTTCTTCGTCATTTTATTATTTTACAATCTAACAATATTTCTTTTCTTTTCGTGGAATTCACAAAGAATTTCGAAGAAAATAATGAAGGAAAATTTAAATCTAAACGTTGATTTCTTTTCTCAAGCTCTACTAATCGGAATGGAATAAGATAAACAAAAAGTCATTGAGTACGTTTTAATGACAATGAAAAAAGGTGAAACAGTTATAACACTATTTAGATCATTCTAGAACTTTTTAAAACATTCTATAAAATTTTTGAGATTTTTACTGTTAATTATAATTAGTCAAAATTATTGATAATTTTCATATATTATGTAATGAAATAATATTATTGATCTATCAGAGTTAGAATAGAATAAACATAGAAAAATATAAACTAATTCAATTCGAAAGTTTCGGCAAAACTCAACAGGACATGTCAAAAATTCGTCGACATAAAGCGTACTGTGAATATTTAAATGAATGTTTATATGAGGCTAATATTGTAATTGAACTTATAAAAACCAGAAGTAAAACAATAATTGCTGTTTTTTATTATATGTGTATTATATATTATTATTATGAGAAAATGAATTAACTATTTCAGATACATTTAACAATACAAAAATCATTTTTTTTTTAGTATAACGATTTAATAAATTGGTAGAATAAATACAAACATTTTTTCAAATGATTTAATTTTCGAGCGCATATAATAACAATAAATTTTAATTTATTCATTTATTTATCATTTTCTTATGAGAATAAATCATAAATTAAAAAGAGCAACATTTTTTAATATTCACACTTTAGTATCTCGTGCATTCATGTACTGATAAGCTTCTACTATAAATCTAGTTCCATATATATATATTATTTAAGTCCTTGAGATAGATAATCTATCTCATGGACTTTAACTCACGTTGATTGAGTACTGTAACTATAAAAATTTCAGAAGTATTTTCTCATTTTATGAAAATTTCAAGCAGAATTTTCAAAAAAATTTGACTAATTCATAAATCTTAAAGTTGTTTCTAAGAAAATGTTGACTAAAAATAGGTACGACATGAACTTTTAATTAAAGAGTAGGATGAAAATGTCCTTGCGCACGTGATTCAGATAAGATGATTACAAGAAAAGGATGATGATGATGATGATGATGATGTGTGAATCATAATTTCAGTACATGAGAACCGATGGAGAATTAGTTAATATTTGAGAATAAGATTTATGATCACACATATGGATCTATAATAGTATAATTTAATGAAAATTATATAATTTTGTCTAGAAATTTATTTATAAATAATGTGAAAATTTTCAAAACAAAACTAATGTTGATAAACATTTATGACAACAATACGATAACAATTAGTTTTTGAGAGAAAATTATTAAATGAGAATATTTAATATAATATGATTTCAAAAGATATTTTTTCCTCTTTTTGATGATATTAAACAAATAAAAACGAAATAACACAACATTAATAAAAGGCAAAAAACAAAATCATGAAAAAGAAAAAAGATATTTAAGTAAGAAAAAAAAAACAAAAAAAAAAGAAGACATTTATGTATACAAAATATTAATATTTTATGCAAAAGATTTATTTAAAATCGACGTGAATTTAGATTCATTTCTTTGACTTGTTTTCGACGATTAAGTCCAATACGATAAAGAATAAATGATACAAAAGAAAGTAAATAACCACCACTTGCACCAACTGCAATCCATGTTGAAAAACCAATATTTTCACGACGAATTTTTAAATTTATATCTCGATTCATTGTAATCATTACAATCCATACAATTGCACTTATCCAGACTGACGTTTTTTTTTAATAAAAACAACAACAAAAATAAAGAATCCATAAATATTAATAAACAATTAAAGATTACTTACAAATTAATAATGTTAAAAAGGATATTATTATGACAAACTGTGGAGCAAGACGTCGACGACGAATATATAAATAACCACCAGCAAGCCATAAAAGAATTATCGATAATGATGAAGCAATTATTGATAGAGACGCACATGCAACAGCATATGCTAAAATAGTTAAAATAAATATTTAATAAAAAAAAAATTTTTTAAATAACATACGTGGTCGACAAGAAGCTACAGAATCTTTATAAATTAAAATCCAATCACGACAAGTTCCATTTGGATAACCTGCATCAACATAAAATATTCCTCGATAATTTGTTTGATTTGGTGATGTAGGATTATTTCCATCAACTGGTAAATTATTTGGATAAATCCATTTTGGTGTTAAAATAGCAACAATAAATGCAATTGTACTTGTTACAGATATCAAATAGCCAACAAAGAAAAGAGCCATTGATTTTTCTTTTTTCTTTTTTGTTTATTTCTTTATCTAAAAATTGAAACAAGAATCTTTATATAAGATAGATTTATGAATAATCAAGAGAGAAAAAAAAAACAAATACAATGAATCATTCAGTTATCTCTTCACTTCAGCAAACAATTTAACGCCTTGTAAGAATTCTTTTTTTTTCCTCTTTATGAACAAACATAAACGTGCATTGATGAATAACAAAATGAGGAAAAGCAGTAATGACGTGTGTCCTTCTCATTTCCGTTCGAGTCTTTCTAGTAAAATAAAACATGAAGAAAAAAAAAAAAGAAGAGTATATATATATATAACTACCTTGGAGTTGAGTTCAACAGAAAGCGAGAAAAAAATGATAAAAGTCAGTTTCTTTTTTTCTCTCTCTCTCTCTCTCTCTTTTTCTCAAAAGTGATTCTGTTCTTTTTTTTTTTTCTTTTTCTTTTCCAATCTTACATAAGCAACGTAAAAATTTTACTCATTTCTGTAATATTGTCAACAACAAAGTAAATCCATACTTTATGTTAATCTCAATAATTAAAATATAAAATATTGAAACGACAATAAATCTTTATAAACCAAATAATAACTGACATTATCAAACAAAAAAAAAAAAAAAAAAAAAAAACAAAAAAAAGTGAAGATTTATTTCAACCATTAAAAGGTGCTAGTTCGACATTTTCTCTTGATTTTATCATGATATTTACATTATAAATTACACTAAAGAAAAATTCATTGATTCCATCGTTACTTTTTTTAGGTACATTTTATATGATTTATTGTGACAAACAAACAAAACAATTTCAAATTAATATGTAGAACATTGAGAATTTGTTGAACAAATAATTAATTGAAATGAACCGGAAAATTATTTTTTCTTAATGATTCGAATCATTGAAATATTTTAACATTTTATTTATTATTATTAAATATTCTCAATTATTTCGAAAGTAAATTCTAAAGATACAAAGATCATAAGAAATATATGAAATGACGACCACTAACAGATAAAAATCTAAACTTTCAAGGTCAAGGACATTATATTAAACATTATCTTATAAATACAAGAAAAGAAAAAATGACCCTCTATTCATCAATATATTAACCTTTGTTTATCGTTAATATATTCTTATATATAGATCCACTTGTTTATCGTATATATATTTCAAAGTTAAGACAGACCACCATGCATAATCACTTTTATTCGCCGTAAAAATGATCAAACGAAAACACTTGAGTCTATCATTTTTATTCTCTCCTACCATAAATTGCTCATATATATATACACACACACGTAAGATTAGAATTACTTTCAATAGATAATATGATAATATACAAAAAACATTTAATACGTTAAAAATACATATGTCTATATTTAAATTGTTGTTAAATAAATTGAATTTATCTGAATAGTAGATGAATAGAGATGTACATATCTATTGAACATAGAGATATTCATTTTTATCAATGAACGTTTATCTAGACAATTTTAGTAATATGAAACTGATCAAAAAAAAATGAAAAGATGAATTATTGAAATATCAAACATGTTTATATTACATAACTATTTATAGTAATTATCAAAATCATGCTGAGATAAACGCACTTTTCAACAATGAAAACGATATATTCAAAAACGTAAAGCTTTACAAATATATGTAAGCACGAAAGGTTGTAATTTGTTGTAAGTGAACTGACCAGAGCAGAAGGAGGAGAGAGAGAGAGAGAGAGAGAAGGTCACTTTTTGTTTTGTTTTGTTATCCTGTGAATTTTTACTGATAGAGATAGAGATCAAAAGAATGATATACGTCGGTTTAAAAAAAAAATGAAAAAGTCAATTGAAGTATTACTAATTCTCGGTAAGAAAGAAAAAAAGGTAGAATATAATTGTCCTTTGATATTTCTTATCAAATAAAGAATGAAGAAATTTTCTTTAATTTTATATTTTATTTTTATTCTCTTAACGAAATAATTTTACCGTTTTTTATTAAAATAATTGCTTGTAAGATTAATACTGATTCTTCTAATGATAAAAATAGAATTTTTTATATTGATAATTGAGAAATCTAATATTACAATACATAGACATGCCTGATTGAAAAGTAATATAGTCGTAACATTGTAGCTATATGGATAGAAAAAAAAGAAAAAAAAAAGAGATTGAGAATGAGAATGAGAATAAGAATAAGAAAGGAATAAAAACGAACAAACAATAGTTGGAATAAGAAAGAGAATAAAATGTTTTATCCATGCAAGAACAAAATGGTTGGGACTCATTTAAAAGTTAAGTTTAACCTCCGGAAATTTTAAATCGCTACTCCGGAAGAAAAAATCTCGATAAAACAAACATTCAAGGAAATGATTTTGTTTCATTAGTCATTCACAAAAAAAAAAAAAAATAAATAAAAAAGTGGAAATTTAATAACTTAGGTTCAATTGAAGTATATGTTGTATGTCTATGGGATATAAATGACCTACCTTCGATAGACACAAGACAAATCTTAATATAAATAAATGATTATATTATGTTTTGTTTCTTTTGATTTTCGGATATCCGATTATTTGTTTTGATTGATGATTGGTAATATAATGTTCTTTCTCTTCACATATTGATCATCTTATTATAATGAGGATAAAAAATAATATCAATCAATTTTATTTTAATAAATAACAAGATCTTAAAATAGAAGCTAACAAACCAAATATAGAAAAACATTTGTTAGTCTCTAATATAATCAATTTAAAGTTTATCGTGTTTTTTTTTTGTTTTTTTTTTTTAATAACGAATCTATTGCATTAGTTCTTTAATGAGGACAATCAGATTTTTATAGTAAGATTTTTTTTCTAGGCTTATAATTGATTAATTAAAGAAAATTATACAAAAGAATTTTTTAATAATGATGGAAAATTTTCATTGTAATCAAAAAGATATATTTTTTTTTAGAAAAAAAAAAAACCTTTAAAATAATTTAGGAATAATATGAAACTATACAAATATCATGGATATTTAAGAAAATAATTCCTATTCTAATGTTATCATTATATATATAAAAAAAATGTTATATTTATAGTTGAAAAAATAAATATTAAATATATAATTATATGTGTATTTCAATGACCCCGACCCCCTACCCCTATCCCGAACCTTTTTGTTATTCTAATATATGATTAATGTTTGTACTAGACTTGAATGTATTCGAATGAAATTTTGAATAATATATCTTTGAGATCTACAATAGTACAAAGATAAAACAAATCAATATTAATTCATATTAAATTAAATTAGATTTTATAATTTTTTTAGAGTTTTATTTAAATAGAACAGTTCAATTTGATAATCTATGAAAATACTTATTGAATTTTGATAATGGAAATATTTTATTTCGTGTGAGAATAAAAGAGATAGTAATACCATTGACACGAGAAAATTTAAATAAAACACTGATATTATTAAAGAATTTGACTAGTTTATCATATCAGTCTTTAATATTTAATATATTAAAAATTTTTGTTGAATTTTGTTTATTATTCAATGAGAATAATTCATTTTTGCTTAAATTCAAATATAAAAAAAAGTAAACATGATTTTTATGGTATATCATTAGTTTAATAGATTAATTTCAAACTTTAAATGGTTCAATATTTCTTTTATTTCGTTCTCGAATTATTTCATTTTTACCTCAATACTTTGAAGTCTGTCGCCATCATTAGTATATAATTTACTATAAAATTATCGTTTGAATATGTTATAAATTGATTAAATGTGTTTATTTTTTTGTTTTTGTGTTAAAAAAAATAAAATTCAAAAGTGTTTAGTAAATCTTTTTGGATCAATGATATCAATTTTATCTGTCATTATTTATTGAAAGTGATGTTATAGAATGCAGAATATTTTGACATTTACAAATCGATTAATATTTAGAAAAACTATTATCAATATTGAAAAAAGTAACAATGTTTCTATTATAGATTTCTATAATAATGTTCGATTTATAATTTTCATTAGTTTATTCTATTGTGATATCAGATAATATAAATTCAAGTGAAATGAACGTTTATCTAGCAAAAAAATAGCCTTATGCTACTATTATAAATAATACTAATGTAATTTAAAACTACTATCCATTGAAAAATAATTATAATAAATTCTGCTGTTTTTTTTTTAAATATTTTTTGTAGAAACACCATAGAAATCTCCGGTTTTCACCATTCAAAGAAGAAGAGATTTGGGGCAAGCCATCGAACTATATCGATATATGATTATTCAACAATTGACCAATCAGGTAAGGCCTTGCAAAGATTTTCGAAAACGATATTCTAAAGCTATTTGAAATTCAGTTTAGCCTTTTGATAGGACTAATTCATAGAGAAAATTGTTCTCTTTCAATCTAAACAAGATCGATAATTTTATTTTTGTTGTATTCGAGAGTTATATGTCTTTATCTGAGACTCTCAATTTCAATCAATTTACCTATAATCACTTGGAAAAGCAACTTGACAGAGACTAATTCACCATGTTAAATCTAATGTGGATGTTTGTATTTAGGTTTAAACTAATCTGAGTATGTTATCTGAATATTTGTGAAATGTTGGTTCCTTCGTTAGATGAAGACTGATTGTGAAATTTGAGACATATTGCGATAACAGAGTATGATTATTGCGAACCTAAAAACAAATATCACCATTTGACTTAGCATGATAAATAACTTGTAGGTAGCCTCTTTTTTCCGTGTGATCATATGTCTATTGACTGAAATGTCAGCTATCAGGAAAAGTCTCACAACTCTCGAAAAGAATAATCTCGAAATATCAACGTTGCGTAGATCGAAAAAGAGAATAATTTTTTCTATTTTTTCTTTCTATTAAAAGTCTCAATTGAAAACTAAATAGTTTTACGAAAATTTGTTTTTGGAAATCTCCACACGATCTTTCCTGAGTGGTCCACTGTTCATCAATCAAACTTTGATATAACTTGATGGCCTTGAGTTTTC